GGTCATCCACCTAACATTTACACAAACGATCCTTTGCTTAACTAAAACAAGTAAACAATGCCTTAGAAAATATAACCTATACTTCATTAAGTTAGTAATAACAGATATGTTTTATTAGCTACGATTTTCCATGAATACCGAATCTTACATTTTAATTGTTAATAGTATTAGTGAGGAGGTTCCTGTCTGCCCTGACCACTGGTTGCTTGAGTCATCGGATTCCGTAGCCGGTGGTGCTCTATTTTTTATATAATATGTTTTTACATTTTTATATAAATCTTGTAAAACATATTATATAGAGAATAAGAAATAAAGATATATGTGGATAATAAAATTAGTATCAGTATGAATATATTTTTGTTAGTAGCAATAAGTGTCAAAGTTGAAAAAAACTCATCTAGATTTATCACATATATAGACAAAAATTTAAGGTAGATAGTACGACCTTAACTTTCTTAAGCTTGATAGTAATATAATAAACTTATTTAAACGCTGTAAAACTCAACAGAACAAAACAAATCTATTAGTTTGTTCATAACTAGGAAGGAAAAGTTGTTTTTAATATTAATTAGTTTAAACTTAATTTTTATCGCATTTAGTTATAAAACCTTTTAGTTTAAAAGCTAAGTGTCATAAAAATATTTAACTAAGTAGCAATATTTACTTAAAATTAATTTAAATATATTTTTTAAACGGTTTTCATTAGTAAGAAAAAATACTTTAAAGGCCCAATTTTAGTCCCTTTCCCGTTTCACCATCTTTTTATATAGAAGGATTGGATGGGACTTTGGATTTGACAGTGGAGGAGACGCGTAGGAATGGGAAATATCTTCTTTGTGTGCGAATTAGGGTAAGAAGCGCACTGCAATTGCGGATGTCTAGAGGCAGCGGTCGGTTCGTCATTTTGGCGGACTTAGGTGGCCGCTTGCTCGTTTGCAACCTTATTATATTAAAAATGTACTTTTTTTAAAACTTAATACGATGTAATGAAACAGTTCGTGAAAGTTATCCAAAATTCTTATCTCAAAAAACTTAAGACGTTAGTTCTAACAACTTGTTGCAACTTCCCGTCACTAGATGTCGTTAATTAGTAATACAACAAACGAACAAAACGCAAATAATAACTATTATCAAGAAAATCTTCAAACTACGTGACTACTCCGACCTTGGTCTATTTACATACAAAACTACATCCTCTTAAATAAATGCGCATCGATTGCTTTCCATATTGTCATCGTAACCGTGGGTTTTCACTATCGAAAAACTTGTATAAATTCATAATGTTATCTCTGTCATTTACTAAGAAATAATAGAGACAACAAGTCTCAACATATGCCACGGTGTTGGTATTGGAATTTCAGTCATTGTCATTGAAAACATATCGTTAAACGAATTCTTCTGATTATTGCTTTACCCTTGTGGAATATAATAGCCAAAATTATAATAAATATTACATCTTAATAAACTACTATCACTATTACATTATTTCCTTGCGTTTATTAACATTGAATGTTAGAAAATTAATGTCTGTAATGGTAATGGAAAATAACAAGAAATAAAGAATTAATAAAACTTCAAAGTTAACGAAATATTTTCGTAAAAGTTCCTATTAATTTATTATGATGCATTAGTGCTCTCTGTTTGTTATAATATCCTTGTTGTTAAAAACATTACATCATTAAAGTTTAAAAAAAATAGTAAAACCAATTTTACTGTTTATTTTGTATGATAAAGTAGCAAACGAGCATTAATAGCGCTATGCTGTCACATCCGGATTTACAGATGCGTTACCACTATTAAGATCGCAAGATTTAAATTTTTATTCTATGCTCACATACATAATTCAATTCAAAAACAATAACATGAATAATATTTACAATTTATAAGATAATATTTTTGAATCTTGAAGACTATTAACGTTCAAATGTCAATCAATAACGTACTCCCACGCAATGGCCTGCAGCGACTTTGAACGTAATACAAGACGTTAGCAGTCTGTTGTTACTAACAAATATTAGTTCTTCATAACGCGTTTTTAGTATACGTAAGGTTAAAAAACAAAAGTGCCCATAGACACTTTTGTTGAACACATATGTTCTTCCAGACTACCCTTTACGCCTTTACCAAATTAAGTCGAGATCCGTTCAGTCGTTTAGACTACAAACTCTAACAAACATCTATCAATCTAAACTTTCAAATTTATAATATTAGTTAAAACATGAATTTAGAAATTATTTACATCAGATTAATGAATAAATAATAGATGAATCGGGCCTCTGTTAAAGTAATTTTGGTAAAGAGAACATCAACTACCATATTGAACAGTATTCATAAAGTACTTAATCTTAAGGTTTTTGTGGCTTGTGCCACAAAATACAAGTAATGTGTTCAATATTCTGTGTTAATGTTTTCTTTGTCATAAACAATTCTAACTGATTTTACTTTATTGCATCTTCTGGAAATGGCTCATAAAATTTCCGAAGATGTCGTAAAGCGAGACCGTTCAAAAAGTTGTAAAAATAAACAGTAAGCCCATAAACCTCTATTTCCGCCACTGCCTACATTCAACTTACACGGTTTTATTATATTTTACTATTAGATCGAGATCCGTTCAGAAGTTTAGGCTACAAATGCTAACATACATCTTTTCAAACTTTCGCATTTAATATCAGTATGATTACTGCCGCCATAGTTCAATAGCTATTGGTCGTTATCATTTAATGTTTCATAATATCATATTCATCATCACCAGCTCACTAACGGCCCCACCGAGGGGCTCGGAGCCTACCCTAAGTAATGAGTGACGAGGCCATATTCAACCACGCTGGCCCACTGCGGGTTGGTTGACTTCCCACTTATCTTTGAATTTCTTCCACGATATTTCTAGGTTGCATTCGAAAAATCGAAAATCACATTGGTATAATCCGGGATTTGAACACAAGACCTGTAGATTACAAGTCAAGTGCTTAAACGACTGAGCCACTGACGCTCTGAAATCATATTATTACGTTTTATTATGTTTAAATAGAGTATAAAATCAGTGATCAATTCGATATCGGGCGATTGTAAACAGTGCTTTAGTCGATAGATTTTAATAAAATAAAGTTTAATTACCTCGGCGTATAGATCATCTTTGTTTATAGTCGTGAATGGAACAATAGAGCACTTGATGCATAAAATGCAGCAGTTTACTCCGACGCTGGCCCTGACATCAAGTCTTAAAACATTGGGCCGCCTAGTGTGTGAACTTTCACCTATATACCGCTGGCTTCCACTGCTCGTACTGTATAGGTTTTAGTAGTGATAATGCACAGTTAAAAATGTGTAAAAATCAAAACTATCTTAAAAAATAATAGGATCTTATTTTTTTAATACGCCCATTAAGATATATAAATGTATATGTTACATTTTAAAAGTCATCTAAACAATAAAAAGGTCATTTTATATTGTTGTAAACATTAAAATATCTTAATTAACAAAAGTTATATTCAAACTTCAGATTCCGACTGTTTTATTATTAAAAAAGTAATTTTGTAGTATGTTTTGTATTTAAATACTGATGAATACAAATTTTATAGTTTGTAAACATTCTTGGAATTAAATTGTAGCATTTCAGGGACAGTTGTTTCACAATCGAGACGAAACATCGAGAAATTCATCGAAATGCGTCATAAAATTCTGACAATATTTTTTGTCATGTTTAATAAGTATTAGAGTGACATTAAAAGACTGAAATTAAGATAAGGTTTTACGCAGATTTGTAGCGTTGATATGTAAATTTCTTTTTTATTTTCTACTAGCTTTCATCCGCGACTTCGTCCTGATGCAATTAAAAACAAACAAAAGTGCGTAACCTATGTGTTCTTTCAGACTATGCTCTACGTCTATGCCAAATTTCATTGAGATCCGTTGAGCCGTTTAGGCTACAAACTAACAAACATCCATCTAAACTTTGGCATTTATAATATCAGTTAGATGGTAGACTATAATCAAATGACTAAACAAATTTTAAACAGATCAAGTTGATTTGATTTAAAGTAGAAGAATAAGTATTAATTGTTTTTTTTTAATTACGTATAACCAAAATTAAAATGAGTTTAAAAAAAATTATAAGAAAACAAGATGTAACTACTTGTAAAGAAAAATTCTGATTAGAATTTTAACTGAATAAGGTTTTCGTTAGATGTCATTTAATTTATTAGATGTCAATTTAATCATCATTCTGTTCTCAGTTTGAATAAAATTAAAATTGTAATCCCTAACTTCCTTGACGTTACCAATAAAATTTAAATAACGTTATCTTTTGTTAAAGAATTAAAATATTTAATTTCCAAACAAAAGATAACAGATATTTTTTAATCGCGTCGCTCGATCGATTAAATTAGCATATTTCTCAATTAACATAATGCAAATTTTTAATAAAAAAATACATATTAACAAGTTACTTGTCAAATTTGTTGAATCCTTGCAATATTTCATTAATATTAAAATTTGTTGTTAAATAACACTATTAATGTAATATAATTATTTGTAGAAGAGGATTTGTCTGTCTTTATAAGGCCCTAAAAAGTGACGTATTAATACAGATAACAAATGACGATTACGAGCTTATTTGAAATAATTTCAAGAAGTGTTTATAAATTAGTTTCAAACTGGTAAATTAAATTGTTGATGAAAAAATGTTATTCTGATTTTGGAAGCTCAATAATTAAGTTACAATACATGTAGTTACAACACATCTTACAAGCTTAAAGCTTATTTGTAATTACGTTTTTATACTAGTAATAGTTGAGAAGGAAAGCTATGAGATCCCTTATCAGTACATTCGATTAGCGATGTCATTAGAATTATCAAAATTAAACTTAAAGCTGTTCTTAAAGTTTTTCTAATTTAATAGGCTGATAATTCTTTACGCGTTGCACTTGGAATAACATTAGCACAAAATTTCAGGCGTACGCAAAGGCTCGATAGCGTGCGAAGCTATATATGTTAGTGAGGACGCGCCGGCGCATCAAAACGTGTCCGACTCGCGCCCAGTGGCGTGCCGTGCTGTGCTCTGTAGGTCATAATGCAGTGTGTGTGCTAGTCCACTGTAGGAACAATGGTGAGCTTTTATTATTTTTTTGAACCACAATTAGAATAAAAAAATGTATTGAAAAGGAAATATATTAAATTTAATCAAATGAAGAGGTTAATATTATTGTTTTCTTTTATATACATATAGATATTCTTTACGTTACGTTGAATAAGATAGGAATATTATTATTTTAAAATAAATTGCAACAATAAATTTAGTCATGTAAAAGACATCAACGCGTCCTCAACTGTACAAAGTTTATTCGTAAATAACTTGGAGGTTATTAGAGATTATTATTGTAGAAGAATGTGAATATATTTTGTGATTATAGCATATTATTTATAAGAAACACATAAGTGACTATTATTAAAGTTTTATTGTGTTCGTGTGAATTATCCTATAGTCGAACCCAACGACTTCTGACCCGACAAGTCGCCGGCAGATTCACGGAAAACAAAGGCTACGTGAAAGTGTTCGGAGTCAAATTGTTTGTATGCGCAACAGCGAACGTTGATAAAACCAATAATTTGCAATCGCTTGATTTGTTGCGTTACATCTTCAAAGTGTTGATGTCACAAAGCCTTAAGTTAACGTATCCTACAATATTAAAGTAACTACAAATTAAAAGAGTTTACTTAACAAAACTAAAGAGTTTTAGCATAAAAGATGGACAAACTTTATAGTAACATGAAGTAAATTAATTTTTAATTATTACAAATTATACATATGGAGATATATCGGAAGAGGTAGACTTAGAAATAGATGGATGGATTGCGTGAAAGATGACATGATCAAGATTGACGGAGATGATGGAAGGTAGATTATTCTAGAGGACGAAACCTAGCGCCTACCTCACGGGTGTAAGAGACAATGATGTTAAGCGAAAATTAATTAAAAACCGCTCAACTCACGCTTTTAATTAATTTTCGCTCAAAGTAATGTCTCACGATAGTTTAGACAATTTGATAACGATGTTTTTAATTCGTGTAGACGAAGTCTTTAGCGACATCTAGTTTAAAATTATAATAAACATTATCCGGGTTCAGGTCAGATTAGTAACATTTATTTGTAACTCTCATTTTAGTAATGACTTTTTACGCGTATCTCCAAGATCGCTAATTGCTTTACAAACGTAAATAATGTTTATTTATAGTGAATTTTAAGTAAGGCTATATTTATAGTAGGTTGAGAGGTCTTTAACCCACTGAATGTGAGATTGAATAAGTGGATTTTAATGACATCTAATTAATATTAATGTCAATGGTCAATTTAAGTGCCAATAGCTTAATGATTTGGGGTACTGACTACCGATCTTGAGGTCGAGTGTTCGAATGCCATCATTCGACTATTGTCGTGAACCATATCCTAGCACAAGCCTAGAGCATACTTAGAATAGTTAAACGAAATATTAGTAATTAACAAAAATCTGTTAATATTTTATTTAAAAAAATGGTGGATTTCAAGACTATACTTCGATAGTAAAAACGAATACTCATATAATTTTCTATTTAATTTAATTTTAAAGTCATTAAGACAATGCCAGTACTATGTAATAACAATTATCCATCTTTCTATTAATACTAGCTTTCCTCCGCGACTAAATCTGCCTAAAATAAAACAATCAAAGTTAAGTTACCTAAGTGTTCTTTCAGACACTCTCTATAACTATGCTAAATTTCGTCGATATCCGTACAGCAGTTTCGACCACAAACTATAACAAACATCCATCCATCTAAACTTTCGCATTCATATTAGTAGTAAGATTAGTTACAGTAAGATAGAGATGTTTGGAGATTCAAAATCAGCCAACTCTTAAGCTATGCTTAATATCTCATTAAGAATTTTCCCTTTCATTAATCATTTTTGGTAATGTAATGCGTAATTGTGACGCAATTTGAAGGCCGCATATAAAAGGTCGCGATGACTACGAACATATTAGTCCGATTCTTATAAATTTAAAAATCGTTTATCTTGTGATCGTGTTGATAATTCGAAGAAGAGTTACAAGGATGACTTTATTTTTAACCTTCTGTCTGTTTCAATTAATACGAGAGTGGCACCCGAAAATGCACTGTATTTCGTTGAAAATATTTTATTTAAAGATTTCAATCGTTAAAAAATAGATCGATCGATAAGTCACGTGATTGTCACGTATTTATTCATAGGAGTGCGTTTTGATACATTTTATCGATTCTTTTAGCGATATCTTTGATCGAAAATCATTTTGTTTTATCTGTAGAGAATTTTTTAAAAACAATTCTTCCAATGACTATGTACTGCCTTAACATAAACATAACACATCGTCTAGAGGTATTAGAAGTATTTTTTTTATCTTTTTAATTTAACATTGACCCAAGTACGAATTAGGAACTAGTCTCTAAAGCCCTCGAATAGTGACGTCATAAATAAAATGTTGTAGTGGATGTTATCTTGCCATCTCAAGTCTGAGTGGTCACTTTAAAGGTCGCCGTTTAATTGCAGCGACTTGATATTCAAAAGCATTTTAAGAGTCTATTTGAAGTTTAAAATTAATTAAAGTTGAAAATTAACTTCTAATAACTTCATATATATTTCACATCTTATTTTATCAATGTTTTATCCGATATTATCTATAATAGAATATTAACTACTTTGTATAAAAGTCTATTCTATTCTGACCTTATGTGAATTTTTATTTCAAGTAATAAGGTTATATTGGAATGGTTTTCTTATCTGGCTTTAATTTTACTACATACTAATACTATAATTGCGAAATTTTAGATGGATGTTTGCAGCTTAAAATGCTGAAAGGAACTCGATGAAATTTGTCTCAGAAGTAGAGGACAGTCTGGAAGAACACATAGGCAACTTTTAGTTATATATATTTGCTATATGATAACAATTTGCGTTGTCTAAAATTGCCTTAATATGTATCCTGTAAGGAAATTATAATCTAGAATATGATGTTTGTTTTGTTTGAATTACTTGTTTTAAACCGGTCATGGTTGACTTTTGACATTCGTAAGTCCTGCTCATTTGGCCTAAGCCAATGATCTTTATAGAATCATTCAGGTAAAAATGTCACATATTAAAATGTTGTGTCCCTGTTAAGTGTACAAACATGTCTTTAACTAGTAGGTATTTAGTTAAGTAAACACCTTATGCCGATTTATCATAGCAAATTGATTAGGATTTCTTTAGAATATTTCCATCCATTTTAATTAGCGGTCAGCACGAAGATTTACGAGAAAGTATTCGTAATATAATCCATAAGGTTTTTATAATATTTGTTGCTTTACTTTACTCTATGTAAAGCGCTGCAAGAATCTAATACAAATGTTGTCGAAGAAGTTACCAATATTTTTGTGTCGGGCCTCCTGTCATCAATAACACCGTATCGAACACTAGTTGCCAATATGACGCAAGAGGGCGTACCTTGACGTTGACAGGTGATTGATATGTAAATAAAATATGTTGGCAAGAAATGCGGCTGACGATGTGCGTCTCGTTTACGACTATTTAATTATTATGTCGTCAGGGTCATATTGAATTCATTTGAAATTACTCAATCTTAGCTTTAACGCTAGGAAATTAACATACTTTGATGGGATTATCTTAAAATAACAAAAAAAAAATGTTTACCATACAAGAAGATTAACCAAAACCAGCACTGTTTATAAATAACTAGTTGTTTTACTTTATTATTTACATTTGTAGCCCTTTGACATTGAATAACAGTTACCATGGCAGTCTTGCTTCCTTGATGTTGGCAGCTTGTAGTTTATGGGCCCATTCCAATATGAGGGTTTTTTTCCAGTTTATTTATCCTCTAAGTTTAATAGCGTGAAAAGATAGCCTTAAGCGAGTTGTAAGCATAGGGCTTTTTATTAAAGAAATAATTATTTAAAATTACGGTGTGATTGCTGCTATCCTACGCTACGAAGTAGTGTGTGTTTAAGCTTTATTATATTAGTATAGATTGCTACTATTATCATCCATACAGCATAATTATAAATGCCCTTTTTGTATTCTACTGTATATGGACACACCCGTACATAGTCATTTATATAAAAAAATGTGTTCCGTTCTTCTCGAGATCTCATTGTGCATACTTTACATTATATTATGGAAATCTAGGACATGTTAATTAACACTTCCTTGTAATATAAATGAAATCTATATTTGTATATGACTAGAAAACCTACCGTTTACAACGTTGTAGTCATCATACTAATATTATAAATGCGAAAGTTTAGATATATGGATGGATGTTTGTTTGAGTTTGTAGTCTAAACGGCTGAACGGATCTGGATAACATTTGGCACAGATGTAGAGCATAGTCTGGAAGAACACTTAGGCTACTTGCTTTTGTTTTTTTTTTAATACCACGCGGACGGAGTCGCGGGTGAAAGCTAGTAATATATTTGGATGATACCTTGTTTCAAAGAATACACAAAAAGGCTCAGACAACAACTTATCGCAATAATGCTTAAGTATTACGTGCGGAGACTGGACAATGTGATGTTGATAAACTCTCTAAACGTCGATTTCCATTGCCGAAGCAATCTTACAAAAGTATATTGTTGTTCCTCTCATTGACTTTAAGAAAACAGAGAAAACAATATGTTTTAGAACGCATGTTTCACCAGTGAAAACAAATTTCAACACCATCTCTATAATGAGGTAGAGAATGTGTTAAGAGCTGTCAATAGATCCTTAATTTATAAGATTTACGTACTCTTGTATGTAAAACCATAAATTATAGTAGTACAAATACGTTTTATCTTACACTAGCTGTTACTTGCGACTTCTCCGCGTGAAATTCAAAGAATAAAAAAAAGTAGACTATGTTACTCACAGACAAATTACCTTTCTAACGGTGAAAGATTTTTTAAAATCAGCCCTTTAGTTTTTGAGTTATTTCAATACATACAAAAATAAAAAATCATTCCTCATTATAATATCACACAGTATAAGTATAGACATAAGTTAACCCTTTTATACTGTGACTAGAGTCCGGTGTGGATTTTTAACAAATTATGTTTTTT